AATCAGCTGGCCAGCACACACATGCACACTGGAACTGACAGGGCAACGACTCACATGTCTTCAGAAATGGGTTCATGTGCCATCACAGTCCTAGTCAGATCAAGTCACAAGCAATCCATATCAGTATCTTATTTACAGCTGCTTCCCCAGCTTCTCAGAGTCATTTAACAGCTAAGTTACTATGATAAACAAGGAAACTGGTAGTTTTCTAAGTATCTCACTATTTCTTCTTTGGACACAAATATTATCCGAGACCAGGTAACTAACCACTTAACCACTTCCAGGTTTAATTACACAAATACAGTAACACCTGATGAAGAATTAGTACCTGTTCATCACTCGATGGCTCTCTTGGTTGCATAAACTTACATTGACTTAGATTGGAGGATAGCCAAAGATTTCTTGATAATTAGATTCAGCCACTCTCTTTATTGCTAGAGAAAAGTGCACATATTTTTTTTCTAAAAAAGAAAATAAACATGCTACAAAAGAGTTATGGATATATTTACACATAAACCTATACACAAGAGCCGATGATCAGATCTCCAGCCCAAAAGACCACAAGTGAAGAAGGACAAGGTTAGCCTGTCATATCCCCACAATACATTTTTCTCTTCGCGGGTAGATAAAATTCAGTCTCATTCTACGATCCTTCATGCATCAGTCAGGCTTTGTCACAAATGCAGAAATTAATTTTTTTTTTGGCACCGGCTGTAGCAGACAAAGCAGCAGGGAGCTGTTATATCTCCACTGAAATCTTCACAGCTCATATTGATTGGTGAGCAGTTTTAGCATCCCTTTTGCTGCCATGAACTCTTCCCAGTAATTCCAAAAGAAATAACTCCATAATTCTTCCCAGCTCTTTAAGCTGGTCCTGAAGAATACCACAATTAACAGTATGAGAAGCCATGGAGAGATCAAGGAGCAGAAGAGTAAATGTACCACCACCATCCTAGTCCACCACAGGTCATCTACAAAGGGCTGCCTCCATACTGAACCCTGGCCTGGAATCCAACTTGCATCTAAATAATTGACTCTTTCCAGGGGTTTCTGCAGCCACACTCCGAACCCTGCTCAAAATCGTCCCAAAAATTCCTTTGGAAATGGATGCAAAACCCGAAACCCAGATGGGCTGAGCTCCAAAGAGAAGGTGGCAGCCCAACCTAGAAGTGCCTTCATTCCCCTTTGGCATGTGTGTCCCTTGTGCCAATTCCTTGATTGGGGAGGCTTGCTCATGCTCACTCGTGCCCTCGTGACCTCCTGTCTGGAATACTGCAATGTGCAGTAATTGCATGGGTAGTGAACACTGTACAGGGTCACATAGAGTGAGATGGGTGACTGTCATGGCTCCTATCCAAGCTTCATGCGCTGACAGCCTGACATTAGCCCTGTCAGGAGAGGGGAGAGAGAATTGGAATGCAAGGAAGAAGGGGAGGATGGGAGGCCAGCTGAGCCTTGTGAAAAGCTTTAGCCAACCAAGGTCAACCATTAGTATGCAGAGCTGGGAACTGAGAACTTGTTTCCTAAAAAAATATACAAGCATCTAATTGGACTGTTGGAAGAAATATCCATCTGGGTTCAATTCAGGGGTGGGATCCTACCTGTTTAATAACCAGTTCACTGAGCGTGAGCTTCACACACACGTGCTTTCTTCTCTTGTGCACACACCAGTACGCGTGCTGCGCGTGCATGCAAGGTTAAGAGAAGACATACCTTCCGGATTACTGCTTGGAAAGTAAAATAGCGGAGATGGTTGCGCATCTCAGCTGAGAAGATAAAGGTAGGTAAAGCGCAGGGGTGGGCAGGTGGGCTGATCTTGCTGACCTTCAGAGCTACCAGTTCACCTGAACCGGTTTGAACCGGTAGAATCTCATGCCTGGTACAATTCCAAGTGGGGAGAAAGACACTGGAAACATGGAGACTGCTTGGAAGGATGGTTTAATGGTGGACAGGACCACATGGCTTTGAAGTCCCGGGTAGCTGACCCCATGGAAGAGAGAGAGAGAGAGAGAGATTTATAGCCTCTCTTGGGCTTTGAATGTGAGCTTATTCTATTGGTTGCAGCCAAACTCACATGGGGCTATGCAGTCATAGCGGAGGTTGTCTGGCTTGATTGAATAGCTGGCTTAGTTGAATCTTGCTGGGTGATGCAATGAAGGACAATTTCCTATTGTGGCTGAATGGCTTTGCCTTGAAGTATAATCCCATCATCCTGGACCTGAGGTCTTTTGTCTTGTAGATAGACCGGCCAAGTCTTTTCCCTTAACCAAAATATCTGCTGGGGGCAGGGAAATATTTTTAATATTTTTAATATTTCCTAGAATATTTCATTCTTCTAGATGAAGGGTGTGTGCTAACCTTCTCAGGACATTTTTAGATAACCTGGGGATGGATGGTAGGTGAAGAGGCAAATTTACTTTGTAAGGTTTGCAAGGGAAAAACTCAGATTCAGCTTACTTCTCTACACCTAAGCTTCAGTATTCTTGGCAAAAATGCATGGTGCTGAGTCTTTCTTTGCTAGATGACTGAGTGAGATGGTTGATATTAAGGTGAATCCTAACATTGATGAATGAATGAATGAATGAATGAATGAATGAATGAATGAGGAGAGAAGGAGGGAAACATTGGAACATACTCAGTTCAAATTTGCATGTTGTTACAAATACAGTCACAACATGTTGAGGAGGCCTCTGAGCAGAGCAGTTGAAGGATCAACCAGCTGGAATTAAATCAAGAAGTTCAGGCTGGAAATGTGACTTTTCCTGGTGGCAAAAGCTGTTCAAAAATAGAAGTAAAACAATGGCGCTCTCCACCTCCCCAGGTTCTCAGCCAAAGCATCTACAAAGTTTCTATATTTGATTATTATTTAAAATAGTTCAATCACCATTTTACAGCAAGATAAAAAATATAATGAAAAGTTAATACCTTGTATCTACAACATCAAAATAAAACAGCGTGAGCGAAGCATATTTAAAATAAATCCCTGAATTACGGACTTTCTACTCCAACTGACAAAATAATGAAGAACAGTAAAAATACCAAGTTAACAATAGTAAAATATATTATATGTGGTTTTTATTTTATTTTTGTAAGCTGCCTGGAAATCACAGAGCGAGTGGGCGGCTGTACAAATTTAAACAAACAAACAAACTCTCCCCAGGCAATGCAGAAGAGCCCCACCACACCACACCCCAATCCATGCGGTAGCCAGGGCAGGCTCTCCTTTGTCGTCCCTTTTCACCGGCTGGAGGCCTCCAGTGCCCTCTCTTGGCCCGAAGGCTGCGTCAGATCCTCTGGGATGCGCGCAAGGCAGGCGGGAAGGCTGCCTCCAAGGCAAAGCGCCCACTGCACGCGCGGGGAGGGAGCGGGAGGCTCCACGACTCACATTTCCTGCGGCGCGCGCCCCTCGGGGGCCTTTTTTGCGGGGAACAGGACAGAGAGGCGAGCAGCTTGGGAGCCCCAGCCCTGCGCTCCGCCGCTTCCCAGTTCCAGGCGGCCGGCAGGAGGTGGAGAAACTCCAGATGGCTCCGCAAGTGACCCGCAAGAACAGGACTCCCTCCAACCCGGCAGCGGAGTTCGCCTGGCCCCCCAAGGGCGGGGAGAGAGCCGTGTCTCCTGCCTGGCAGGCATCTTTTAAGACCATCAAACAGCCGATATTTATTTATTTAAGTGGTTTTGTGCAATTTCCATCGGTAATGAGGCCCCTGAAGAAGCGATTTATAAAAACCAATTAACAACAGCATCTATTAATAAAACCGCAATAAAAGCTTAACATCAAAAAGAGGGCAGTTAAAGCCTTCAGCCAAACATCAGAAACGATGAATATCCAAGTGGAAGAGAATAAATGGGACTCCCTCACCTCCCCCCCCCAGTGGAAATATCAGGAACAGCAGGTTGGAGGACGGGGAGGGTCCCTGGTGCGCCTTCCTCCCCCCCTCCTCACAGGCAGCAGCAAAGTGGGTGGGGAGCTGAGTCTCCTGGCCACTGAGTTGACCTTCCTAGCCGGAGGAGGAACCCGATTGACTGAACAGCCTGCCACTGTGCTGCTCCATCAAAGGCATCGCTGGCAATTCAGGGGGTAGGCAAGGAAGGAGGTCTAGGACACTCACCAGCCCTCTCCACACTGGGAGAAAGGAAGAGTGTGGGAAGTGAGGGGTGCAGGAGAAGGGAGCAAATGAATGAATGAAGCAGGCCCTGGGTGCAAAGAGGCTGGACAAGTGGAGAAGACTAGTCCAGCTGCCTGGGAGATGTTGGTCATTTGGTCTTACTGGGGCCAGCGCCACCCACTGTAGGGTCCCCATAGGTAGCAAATCCTTGAGCTGGGAGGAAATAGGACAAATCCATAAAGACCTGGGGATACCCTCCCAGCCCCTGCCTCGGTCTCCCCCTGAAGGAAGAGTCTGGTATCCTAGCCTAATTGGAGGGTCTCCAGATATTTGGGAATGCAAAATTCCAATGGGTGAAAGAGGCAACCTGTTTCAGACTGAAAGATATTGCAGAATTCCTCCAAAAATGAAAACTTTGGAATGATAGTTCCCCTCCAACACATAAAGCAATATCTTTGTATTAGAATAGAATGGAATGGAATGGAATGGAATGGAATAGAATAGAATAGAATAGAATAGAATAGAATAGAATAGAATAGAANGATAGTTTTGCCTTTGACTCTGATTTAATTCTGCATAATATTTGGAACGCTGACACCTGTATTCTATAGTCTGTAACATATATTTGATTTATTGCAGGTATAAAGAAGCACTATAGTTTTCAGGATATATATGCATCTGTATATGTTTATGTGTGGTATGTTTTTACTCTGCCCTCATACAGAAAACCAAAGCAGAAACAGAATTTAAGTATGCAGAAATAATGTGAGCAAAAATATATTACCAGCATTAGAATTACTATTTCTTGCTTGAAAAACACTACATAAACAGAACTATAGAACAACAGTGTGGCACAATTAGAAGCAGCCACATTTCCCTATAATATTTACCAACCTTTATATTACTGCTGTCACTTATAACACCCATGTTGATACATTTTACACTATGTTGAAAGATGAGCTCTGAAGGATAAATATGCAGTGGTGGTTGCAACACTGTAGAAAGAAAGAAACATACACAACTATTTTAGCTTCAAGGAGACAGACTTATTAAATTACAGATGGATTAAACCTGGATTAAACCAGTAATTTTGACTAGAATTGGATAATTGTCAAATCAAACAAGACTCACATGAAGAATCCAGATTTCAAAGGTTTGGTTTATTTGAAATGGTAAGAAATACACCCAAGTGTATGAACAAAGCTGGATATATATATCCTCAGCTTACTATATAGAAAAAACTTTGGGGTAGCATTATGGGGAGATAAATTAAAGATCTATCAAAACCTGGTCTCAAGATAATTTACTTAGCAAACTAAATAAATAAATATGCGCACAATTACCATATTTTTCAGACCATAAGACTCTCCGAAGTATAAGACACACCTAGCTTTTGGGGAGGAAACCCCCCCAAAAATCTGCCTCTACCTCCCAGCAGTTTGCCTCCTTGCAGCAAACAACGTGGTCAGCTTCAGCATAGCCTGATTTAGTAGCTGATTGGCGGCTGGATCTGCCTCCGGCAATACCTCTCATCAGCTGTTCCAGACTGCAGGGATCACCACCATCCATCAGCCCCTTGGCTGGCCATCAAGGCTGTCTACCAATCGCCACCTCTGCATGCCCCATTTTCAGCCTCCATGAATCCCATTTCACCCTCCATGGGCCCTATTTTTGGCCTCCGCACGTCCCATTTTTGGCCTGTTCCAGGCGGTGGGATCAAAAATGGGGCATGCGGAGGCCAAAAATGAGGTGTGCAGAGCAGTGGTGAAATTCATTTTTTTTTTACTACCAGTTCTGTGAGCCTGGCTTGGTGGGTGTGGCAGGGAAAAGATACTGCAAAATCCCTATTCCCTCCCCACTCTGGGCCCAGCCAGAGGTGGTATTTTCCAATTCTCAGAACTACTCAAAATTTCCTCTACCAGTTCTCCAGAACCTGCAGAATTTCACCCCTGGTACAGAGGCTGAAAACAGGATGTGCGGAGTCCAAAAATGGGGCACTCAGATGAGGTGATAGGTAACAGCAGTGATGGCATCAATGGGCAGCGGCAATCCTCACAGCCTGGAACATCTGATAGGTGGTATTGCAGGAGGCCGATCCAATCGCAAATCAGCTGCTCATGCTAAATCAGGTTATGCTGAAGTTGACCAGGCTGTTTGCTGTTTGCTGCAAGGAAGAAAATTGCTGGGAGGCAGAGGCTGAAGGGTGGGGCCCAGCAGGTGGGCGGGGCTTTGTAAACATTCACTGTATAAGACGCACAGACATTTCCACCAACTATTGGGGGATGGGGGTGGGAGTGCATCTTACACTCCAAAAAGTATGTAAGTTAGGATGTAAAATAGAAAAATCTCATAAGATTAAGTTGTCTCCATGATTTTGCGCCTGGAGCTGAAGCTGAGCACAGCAAAATTAACATGAAAACTACTTATGCAATACTTTAAAATGGGTGTTCTTATGTGAGGTCGATGATGAGATTTTAGGTGGATGGATGGAAAGAATAAAAACTTTATTTTCATCAATTTATAACTAAAATTTAGTTTTTCATTCAATAATGTATGTAGGCAAGAAAGTAATTTATGACATCTAGACTCCAAAATTATTTTAAATCTCAATATCTAAAATTATTATGTCCCAGCAAAGGGTATTCTCGTTATTGATTTATGGATTAATAAGCATATATATTTGTCATGCCCCAATATACAATCCTTATATTGTTGTTGCTCTCGCCCCATCTAGTGTCAAGAGGAACAAATACCAATTATATTGTTTTGAAGCTGACTCAACCCTTTTACCCATCAGCCAGCACTCTTAAAACAAGTGCATGCTGGGAAGCCAGACTTAATTTCCTTTAGCATTTGGAGGAAGCAGAAGCACAAAGAAGAATCCATCTTGATCTGTGGCACATATTCAACCAAAGACAAACCCACATCCCACTCACAGAGCATCACTGGTGAGATTTAGATTACTTGTATTTATTAATTGTTATGTTGAGCAGTAACTCAATACTGCCAATCTTGTATTTTGTTCTTATAATATATATTCTTATATCCCCCAGTTTCACCATATCCTGTTCTTTTCAATAAAGCATCAAGATGTATGTACATGGTCTGATTTATTGAAGGACAGGTGAATTTAGCTGCATGTCGAGCGGCACACAGACTAATGTGTAGTGAGGACAGAACAATATATATACATATATTCTACCATTATGTATTTTTAATAAAACTGTGTTTGAGCACAAGTTGGTTTCCTTTGTAATACAATCTATACTTGTGCATTTTATTTTATGCATTTAAATACATATTTCTAAGAAGCTTCTTACATTCTCAAAACCATAAAAAGATTAAATAAACCACAATTGAAAGCATCCATGTTTATTTTTGTTGTAAAAAAAACACCTTACAAATTCTCCAAAAAGAAGGCTGTTAAATTTGTAATTCATACTCCTTATAATGTTACTGTGTTCATTCCGCCTTTGAGGTCAAAATATTTTTGGTACAGGCTACGATGTTTGTCTATTTCATTATATGTAGTACATTGATATGCTTTAAAAATGAAGCTATAAAATCCTATGTATCTGGTGGCAATGGCTGGATCAGGAAAATGGCCAATGCCTCATTGTGGGAAAGGATGATGCTCTCGAACCTGAAACAGGCAATGGTATTGTTGAAATAAATGTCCTTCTGGTTCGGCTCCAAGAGGGGAAAAAGACACTGGAGACATGGAGGCTGCTTGGAAAGATGGTTTATTGGCGGCCAGGACCACATGGCTTGAGTCCTGAACAGAAAAAGTGATCACATGCTTCAATGTTGGTGGAGAAAAGAGAAGGAAGGAAGAGAAGCTGAGTCCCTGGTTTTATGCCCTCTCTGGCCTTTGATCTTAAATTTGTATCTAATTGGTTGTCAGACTCCCATGGGGCCATGCAGGGGCAACTTTCTAGGCTGCATTTTGAATCCAGGTTTGGTTGAGTTCTCAGATGCCATGTGGGGAGTTGGGTAAAGGGCCAATATTATCATGCCTTAATCCCATCTCCCTGGAGCTGAAGGGGAGAACTCTTTATTATGTAAAGGGACTGGCTTGGCCTTCTTAATGGCCCATTGACAAAGTGGGGATGGGCAAGAAGCTACAGGGAGCTATTCTCTCTTTATAAAACATGTTTCTTCCTTTTCACATCCTGAGAAATATTCTTCTTTTTCAATATTTCCTAGGATATTTCATTTTTCTGAGAGAGGGCTGGGTGATAACTTCCTACAGTATACTCCATCATGAAGAAGACACTCTCTGGATTCAGGCATGCTAGACAATTATCATCTTCTGTCCAATCACTTACAAACCACCCTATAGAATGCAGTTTATCTGGATTCTTTTCATCCAGAATTTAGACCTGGGCATGAAACAGAAACCATACTGGTTATAGCGTTGGGTGAGATCCTGGATAACAATATGGATGTGTATCTCTTTATCTTTTTAGGTCTCTCAGCAATGCTTGATTTCATCATATCTCTATAGGGCACTACAGAGTTTGAGAGTGATTCTGCTCAGTGGTGGGATTCAAATAATTTAACAACTGATTCTCTGCCCTAATGACAAGCTGGATGGGCATATAACTGGATGGGCATGGCCAACTTGATTGGTGTTACCCTTAGGAAATTTCTCCTTAGTCCAACTCACAATAAAATAGTACTTTTCCAATATTTAGTAGAATAACAGAGTTGGAAGGGACCTTGGAGGTATTCTAATCCAATCCCCTGCTTAAGCAGTATTAGAAGGAAAAAATTGGGGCTTGCTTTCCAAAAGGGAGATCGCTTGGCAAAGAAGGGGGGGAGATGAGATGCTGTCTCTTTAAATTGAAAAGCCAAGAAGCAGCTGCTCGGAAGGCAGCTTTTAATTGCAGAAGTGAAGTGACATTCAGCAGTTCGGTTCTGGGTCAGCTGAACAACGAACTGGATAAGAGGAAGGATTCTTATACGGTTCTATGTTTTTGAAATTTTGGGGTTTGTGTAATATTAGCTTTGTGTTTCTAAAAGGGTTTGGGCAATTCCTATTGTGGCTAAATGACTTTCCTCCTGTGTCAGGTCTTGAGTGTGGGGGCCACTTATTCTGATTCTATTACTCTATTTTGTTAGCTGACAAATCTTGCCACAGGGAGATTTCAAAATATCATGTCTTGAATGGGTTTTCTACCAATCTGTTTGCCTGCTTGTGAATAGAGCAGAAAGTCTGGCTTCCACTTTCAATAGGCTCATTATCTCTAAACACTAGTAACTGTTTTCTTGTTATAAAGTTCCTTAGGCAGCTGGCCGGAATGAGCCTCAGACAGGTTTCTTTATCAGCAGCTTGATTTTTCTTGCTTTTCTGGGAGCCTTTCCTTGTGACTACTATTTTATTTGGGGAAATGAGGGGGGGGGGGGGGGGTTCATTCCTTCCCACAGCTGGAAATCCTACACCACTTCAGACAAATGTTTATCCAATCTCTTCTTTAAAACCTCCAGTGTTGGAGCATTTACAATTTCTGGAGACAAGTTGTTCCCATGATTAATTGTTCTGTCAGAAAATTTGAGGGACTCCTACAAAAATGAGGGGGGTCAATCTATTTTCCAAAGCACCAAAAGGCACAACAAGAAACAATGGGTGGAACCTAACCAAAGAGAGAAGCAACCTAGGACTAAGAAGAAATTTCCTAAGGGTTAGACCAATCAACCAATGGAATATTTGGCTTCAGAAGGTGTGAGTGCTCCATCACTCACAAGCAACACAGTTACAAGATAATTTGAAATTTTTACAGTCTAATACTGTAAGTTAACTCTTAAATGCTGAAAATGCAGGATCAAAATACATAAACATAGAAACAGCATTGCAACCTAATTTCAAATTAATAAAACCAATTCTGCTAATTAGAACACATATTTAAAAAGACATTAAGAACTCTGACAAGAAACTCCTGCTCTGTATTAACATTTTTAAAATTCCTTCCCTGGCCTAATCCTGTCAAGAACAAGGAGAGATTCAACCTGGAAATAAGGAGAAATTTTCTGACAGAGAACAATCAACCAACAGAACAGTTTGCCTTTGGAAATTGTGTGAGGCTTTCACTAAGAGATTGGACTGCCATTTATCAGAAATGGTGTAGGGTCTCCTGCTTGGTTGGGTGGGTGGGTTGGACTAGATGACCTACAAGGTCCCTTCCAACTCTGTTAATCTGTATGATCTGTAAATTTCTATTGTTTCTGTGCTGACTGCATTCCTGCTGTTTTGTTATGCAACAATACCATCACTGATTCTGCTCCTTCCTAAGTATTCCTTTTTCTTCTAATATTCAGGATGGTTTTAAGTGCATCTTTGGGGACTGAGGTGAGAATGGAAGTTATATGTGCATTGGGATAAAACTTTCTGCTTTGGAATTAAAAGTTGTTTGCTTTTAGAACAATGATAGCATTATGTTGAATTTATGTTAATTGTATTTATTATTTGATCATTTGATCATTTTGCTAATGTTTTATCTATATATTGTATTCTTTGCAGTAAGTTGCATAGAGTCTCATGACTGAAACAGCCTAGAAGTATGCAAAATAAATAAATACATTAAAAAATGAATGCTTATTCTGACTTACATAGCTCAACAAAATTTGGTACTCCAATAGCTTCAGACCAGTTGATTTCAAAGAGGTCTTATCTATATAATGCATTCATCCTGAATAAACATACTGATAGTTCCTCCCCCATCATAAATTCAGGAGACGGAAAGGAATGACTGCTTTTGGATAACAATGCCCATCCTCTAGACCCATGATGGCGAACTTATGACGTGCGTTCCAGATGTAGCATGTAGAGCCTTCTTTGTGGGCATGCATGATGTCTCCCTAGCCCAGCTCCAATTGCATTTCTCCACTGCATTTCACCCAATTAATTCCAACTTCTCACAAAAGAAACTCACAAAGTTGGAATTGATTAATTTTTTCACTCACACTCTTCACAATGGGGGAGGTGGGATCCCATATTCCTCCTGAAGCCATACGACGGTTTCATCCCTCTGCTGTAGCTCCCTGTGGCCCTGTCATGGCAGGGGAATGAAAGAGTTGTTGCCCTGTTGGCAGTGGCAATGGACCGAGTCTTAGTACAGGAGCAAAGCACCCCTGCACTTGTCTTTGCAGGGCAACAGCATTCCGCCTTCATCACGGTACATTTGCTGTTGCCACCAGCAAAGAGGGCTGGGAGAAAATGGCAGGGGCAGATCTTGCAGGGTGATCCTTGAAAAACGGATCTTCTTCCTCCCTCATTGGTGGGGCCAAGAGAAAGCAGGAGGCAGCATGGAGAAGTGCTCCCCTCTCCCAGCCAAGCACTGAGCACAAAAGTCCAGTGGGAGGGCTGCGGTGGCTGGCCCAACAGAAGCACCCACATTGGCGAGTCAGAAGGTGGAGAGACCTGGCCCAGCTCTCGCAGTGGGACACTGTTAATCACCTCCAGATGTGAGCTTCTGCCTTTGAAACACACTGCGCCTTTGAGGAAACCGGACAGCAATGGCTGGGGCCATGGGGGAGGGGGAAGTAGAGGCATCAGGATTGCTCCCCCCTCCTCAGCAACCCAGCACAAGAGGAGTGCAGAGGGTTGCAGGCCAAGCGCCCCAACGTGTGTTTCCAGGGTGCGCTCCTCTGTCCCAAAGTGGAATTGAGTAGGGGGTAGAGGGAAAGGAACAGGGAGCAGGGGGAATGGTAGGGGAATTCTAGAAGGAGAATCCCATCTGGCTTTCCTTTTGGAGTAGGGCAGGGAGAAGACCCAATAAAAATCCAATTTCCTCCCAATAAATGTCCCATAGTCCAAAAAGAGAGGTGTGGTCTGTTCGTTGGAGGATCAGAGAGGAAATCAGTTGAAATCTGGGTGGGAGGATATTCAGAGAGGGATCTGCCTGGGTCTCTTCTTCCCTCCCTCTTAGATTCCTCCCTCCCAGCTTTCTTCCCTAGTCTCGTTTTAAGGGGAGAGGGAAGCAAGGTGGGACAGTAGTAGCTAAAAGGCTACAACAGGGGACCAGATAGAGAACTCCCTCCATGGTATCGACTGGCTCTTTGCCTCCCCACTCGCTTCAGAGCATTTTCCATGGGGAAGCGAAGGACCTTGGTTGGAAGGTTTCCACCCCATTGGAAACCAGGTGGCTGTCAAAGAGAAGGGAGAAAGGACAGCTGAAGGAAAATCCACCCCCTCTCCTGCCAATCGTTCTTTATTGGGATTGGAACACAGACACCCTCCACCCCACCAAAAGGCTCAATCCAAAGCCTTCAGCCTTGCAATCCTGGGAGGGGCATCTGTGCTGGGATCCCAAAGAAAGAATGGTGTGTGTGTAGAAGAGAGGGAGGGAGAGGGAGGGAGGGAGGGAGGGAGAGAAGAGTTATCCATGGCGGGCAGCAACATTCTCTCCATGTCCCCCCCCCCCTCTCTCTCACACACACAAATACACACAGGTCCCTCACCCTCCCTCCCAAGGCAGCCACATCCCTTCACTAACCTGCTTACCTGATCCACTCTCAACTGACATGTGCAGGGCAAGAAAAAATAGTCTGTGGGACTACTTCCAACTTTGTGAGACTTTTTTTTTGTGAGAAGTTGGAAGGTGTGAATTTCTGGTATTTTTTTTACCATGGTCGCACAGACTAATTTTCTTGTCCTGAATGCACAGCGAGAACAGAGCTGGAAAACAGGTTAGTGGAAGGATGTGGCTCCCCTGGGGAGGGGGGAAGGCTTGGCATGGGTGGCCTAGCTGAACGGCCTTCAGGTAAGCCAGTGTGGGGCCTTGGGGCAGCTCTGCAGCCCCTGCCTTGCTTCGTCCTCCACCCCCACCGCCTTCCTCTGTTCTTTGCAACATGCAGCCTTACACTAACAAGAATTACAGGCAATTCCCATGACTGTCTGATTCTCAACCAGTCGGCTGAATGGTAGGAGGGAGCTTCCTGTCCACTTGAAAGAGAGGTGGGTTGCATAAAGGCGCTCCCCCACCCCCGCAAGATCCTCTCAAGTGCCAGGCTGCAGGCTCCACCCCAGGGATCCTCAATTGGGGCCAAGCTCTTGGCAACTGATTGAGATAAGACTGTTCTTGAAGGGGGCACGAGGCGCATGGGGCCTCCTGCTTTTGCAGCCTCAATCGGCTGCAAAAGCAGCCGCGATTCTTGCCGTCTCTTCTCCCCCTTGCCAGGCATGGCAGGGCTTCCTGCCCCTCGCCCCCTTTATGGATGCAACTTAGGGGTGGCAGGTGGGGCAGGGTGGGGTGTGGGAGAATGCAGCCACGGGAGCAATTCTAGATGCCCCCAAAAGGGTACATATGACACATTTGTTCTGAGAACTACATTGATTCCTGGTCCAATTTAAGGTATTGGTTGTGATCTATAAAGCCCTACATGGTATGGGCTCAGACTACCTATGGAACCATCTTCGTCCCATTACATTTGCCCATCCACCCACTCCGGCAGGGGAAATATGTTGCAGATCCCATCAATTAAAGAATTTTGACTGGTGAGGTCTAGGAAAAGAGCCTTCTCTGCCATCGCCCCCTATCCTGTAGAATATTCTTCCCCTGGAGGTAAGGTACACCCGACTCTCCTGGCCTTCTGAAAAGGAGTTAAAACAAGGCTCTATGGCCTCATGTGGGAAACCAAAAGGAATACACAGCTATGGAGATGGATGGTGCCCTGACAGCCCTCTCTTCACCTTTTTAACTAATTTTTAACAGGGTTCAATCATCCTTACCTTCTTTTAAATTCTATTTTTCATTTAAATCTTTTAAAATCCTTATATACTATTTTTATATTTTATTGTACACCACCCACAGCCCCTCTCTGAAGGATGTGAATAAATTCCTTATTAGACAACTGTTCTTGTCACCTGATTTGTCCATTTTATTACACTGAAAAATTATTAAAGGATGTTCTATATATGCACATCTATATTTACCTCTGAGGCTTACATACCAGTTGCTTGAACTTTGCATTCTTGAGTAGGTATAGTCAATGACTGAGGTCGAGGAACAACCATATGCTTTGTTGAACTAGCAGGATTTAACTTTTTTGAAGCATTTGTGGAACACCAAGCTTCATCAGCATTAATTTTTATTGGAAGAGTAAAGTCATAGGCTGCCACCTGAAGGAAATAAATAACAAGTTACTCTTTCATATAAAGTGTAAAATGTAACACAAAGGTGTGAGACTCTTGGCGCTGTAAAATTCCTTTGACTTTGAAATACAGACAAGCACACCAAATGGTGAGATGGTAAACATCCGCAGCCTAAACAACAAAAGAAGCAAAAGGGGTCTGCAGGAAAAGTCATGCTGAAATGTGAAATAACTTCAAAGAAAATGGGGAGGGCTTAAGCGTCATGTATGATGAGTAGAAACGTATAAATTGTATTACTTGAAATCTGTCTTTGTGCTCCTAGTATTCAAGCTATTGGGAAGAATTCTGGGAGGCCGTGCTTGCAACCACTTCTTCAATTTCTTTGCAATAAAAACTTTTGAATTGTGAACCAGACTTGTCTTTTGAATTGTGAGCATAAAAATTGGGTTTTAATATCTCACACACCTAAGGGATGAATATAAATTTATAATTTTCTCAATGCTAGCAATATAAATGTTTGAATACCAGAAACCAGTGCACCTTGTATTCTGGCAGTAGTCAATTCATATTCCCAAAATACTAAGAAATAAAAGTATCTCCATAAAGAAATGAAATTAACGATTAAAAAGACTGAAAATGTAAATATAGTTCTAAAAATTAGGAAAAAAAACCCTATTGCTTTGGGAAAACTAAATGTGTGACCTTTATTCTTCCAAATATTCAAAGAACCTCTTGCCACCTGACTTGTATAGAAGATTTTAAGAGGAAGTATTATGAAAATTATCTCAAAAGCAAGTGAATAGTATAAAAGATTATGGACACCATGAATTGTCATTCCACGCAATAAAGGAAGTTAAAATTAATAGCACTTTAAATAGGACTTGGAAGTTTATCAGCAGATATTGCAGCCAAACTAGATCCACTGGAACTGCTATGTTCTGCCCAAAGTGTTAGCTTTCAAACAATATTTGAGGACAGTCCTCAGAAAGTACAGTATGTTGAACTTTACCAATGTTGCATTTCTAGAAGTTTGGGCTTTATTCTTTTTAAGAACTTGATTTTATAAAGTTTTATTCTTTTGAATCTGATATAACAGTTCAATGTTGAATCTCAGTAGAGGAAAGAAGACAAATAAGTGCAGCTTAATATCAGTGGTATGTTGTACTAATTATTTGTTCTGTATTGTATTTATTTGTGCACTGATGATATGAAACCTATAGCTTCAGACAATTTATCTTTATATACATGGATATATATCCTAATATAGTAGATATAACGTTTTCTTACTAGAGGTTGAACAAGCAGTTCCAATGTCAATTTTCATAGAACTGTTTCCTCCAAAAAACAAAATGGAGTAAAACCAATTCAGAGCAATTGTAGAACTGATATAATGAAAAAGGAAATCTGGCTTAGCAAAATGTCAAAAGCTACTATATGGGAAAAACATTCTATTTATCCTCAGTGATAATTTGCCATAAAATTAAAACAAACTTGACATATATAATTAAATTAAAAAGAAGAAATAGATGTGTCACACATAAAAATATTTTATCAGCAAAAAACAGAAAAAACCTAAACAGTGCCCTATAACTTCACTCACTGGTAAAAGAAATGTAGTATCTTTTTTTTAAAAAAAA